GATGCACAGGGAAGCTGTGGGGCGAATAAGACTCCCCAGGACATCTTAGAGCCATGTGACACTCTCCCAGCAACTCCACAGACCCAGAAACACTCCAGCCTACTCTGGATTTTTATGAGGCTTCATTAGACAGCCATGATCGATTAAGTCATTGTAACTGGGACTGATATTTTTTTCTGCCAGTGCTCTCCCTTCCTCCCGGTCAGGGAGTAGGATTAAGAGTTACAACCTTTAATGGTAAGGTTCCTTCTTTGGGTGACCAGTCTCCATTTTTAAATGAAGTGCAAAAGGTACCTCACTTCCTAATAATTAGGAAATTCCTTATCAAAAATGACAGTGACTTAAAAGGTGGACTCACTGTGGTAATCCTGGATGGATCTGTATAGATATGAGGAAGAAAATTATAGCATAAAATAATCCCTGAGCCTGTATCTTTTGAACAATTATTAAATAGCAACTAAACATTTATTATTAACAACTGAATATACAGCTAATATAGTCATTAAATCTCAATGCCTAGTGATAGAACAGTAACATTAAAAAATGTTGAATTTAATTTTCTCTGTAAGTGATTCTGATCTGACAATCTGGACACTCTCTGAATTCTTCTTGGGTAGATTAAGTAATGAAAACAGCCTCATGAAGGGTTGGTAGAAGAAAAAGGGTCAACTTAATATTGAGCACACCTATGTGTCCTGGGAAATCTACATAGATTCTGAGGATTTTGTGTTCAACAGGGAGAATTACTTGAATCCTACATTAAGGAATGGGGTAGTCATTCTTAATAGAAATAGAAATATACAAGGAGAAGATGGATCTTTTCACTTTTAAATTTATATGTATGAGGTATATCTAATAGTTTATATTTATGTAATAGAAACTTTGGCGATTTTAAAATTTAAATTATTTAGTAATTATATGACCTTGAAAATGTTCTCCAGTTATCAGATTTTTATCTTTATCAATAAAGATAATATGTAAAAATCTGTTTCATAGTTTGAATTATAATAAGTGTAAATCTAATAGTTACATACTTGGTACATTGTAAGAAAGACTCATGCTGGCTTCTTTCCCTTTGCATGTAGTACAGAAAAAAGAAAACTAAAAATAGCATGTAAAATTGATCCTTGCTTAATGAGTTACTAAAATCATTGCTTAACTCTCTGTCCTTAGTAACTTCTTTGTTTTAGTCAACTGTCTTAGCAGTCCAGTGACTAGCAAGAGGAACATTTGCTGGCCTGTGGACATACCTGTCAGACCCAGCTGGTAATACCTGGCCTTGAGAATATTCCTAAACTTATTTTGATCTTGGCATTATTAGAGTTACTCTCTCTGTCTTTGGAAGAGATGTGACCTTCATTTTCAACCCAAAATGGCAAGTAATTCCATTCTTATAAAGTGTCCTATAATAAAAGCTAAAACTTCTATAGTATTTACTATCCATCAGAAGCAACTAAGAGCATTCCATAAATTACTATATATAATCGATGAAATAACCACAAAATGTGCTTACTATTATTTCCATTTAAAGTTGAGACACCCATGGGGATCACAACTGAGATGAAAAATGCACAAAATGAAGAATGATGTAAAAAAATAAAAATATAGGGCCCTCCCTGGTGGCGCAGCGGGTTGAAGCACAGCACTAAGAAGCTTAAGCCACTTCTGCATGAGTTCGATCCCCGCCTGCCCCGGAGGTGACCACATGGCATGGCAGACCTCTCCTGGCCTGCCCGCTGCTCCCCTCAGCGGTGTACTTCGTTGATCTGCTTGTTCTGCTCCCCGCTCTGTCTCTGGTGAATCCTCTCACCCTCCGCATCTCTGGCCTGTACCCCAGTTCTGTATGAATAAATAAATCTTTAAAAAAAAATAAAAATAAAAATATAATAAAAAAAGGAAAAAAAGAAAGTTGAGCCAGCTAATAATGCATAGAAAGATGAAATGATTTGCCAAAAAATACAGTCAGTAAATGGATATTAAGATTCTAAACCAGACTTTTTCATTCCAAAGCTACTGCACTAAATCACATACAGAAATGACTGAAAGTCAGAGTGGACATAGCTGGACTGCCAGATTGAGTCCTAACTGATTGGAGATATAACAAATCCGAGATCCTGCACAGGACCAAAGGACCAGGTGAAACTTGTGTTACTTATGAGGCATAATTGGAAAAAGGGTAGTTTTTTCTTCTTAGAAGTAAAGCTGAAGAGTTCTTACAGCTTACTAACTTATGGGTAAGGAACAGGGAATTTTTGGTTTTGATCAAGATTAAGTCATAAGGCAAGTAGATCATGAAAACACACAGGCAGAACACTCAATCAGGATGATAGATGTGAATATATATATATATATATATATATATATATATATATATATATTTTGTGCCAACAGCTCTCTTCTAATGTATTGGCAACTCAGAAACCATAGGTGCTTTTGGGATGGTTGTAACATCCATTTGAGAACCTGTGAGCCTATACCACTAAATCCTATACAGCTTATTAAAGATATTTTTCATTTTGACTTTATTAACATATGTTAAGCATGGTTTTTATGCCAGCCAAAAGTTCAATGGTTAAAACTCAGTGGTTAAGTGATACTGTAAAATCAGAAGCCCATGTATAGTAGAGCCCCTCTTCCACCTGAACCATCTTGAGACTTTAGAAACTGTCTTTGCCTGCTGTCCTCTGTTATAACAGCCTTTATCCTGGTTAAAAACTTTAGGGATAGGGTAGTAGCATTTGTAAACCATGGAAGGAGAATATTTGGAGACCACAAGGCATGTGTGCAAAAGATAAGATTCTAAGTCTGGGAGGAGCTCAGCGTTCAGACCTGTTGTCTTATAGCTTAGATAACACCCCCTCCTCAAGCCTCCCTGTCTGGCATGCACAAAACTCCTTCCTGGGAATTGATAAGGCTTAGTCACTGATTAATTATACCCCTGAATTTAAAATTTTATGTCAGGGATATTGGGTCCCAGTGATTTCCCTTTCTTGTGCCAACAGGCACAGGGCAGGTTCACTACTGATTGGGTACATGGATAAAGCAGGGTCCTGGAGCCCTCAGTGGATTTTTCAGAGAGATTGGTTTCCAGTGACATGTCTTTTCTTAGTTGTTCCTACCAGCAAAATTGTCAACAGTCTTTTGAATTAATCTGGTAAAGATCATTTGTTAGCCTAGATTCTGTCCCAAAGATTTTGTTTCATATCTGTGTTCTCCATGTGGCTAAATAATCCTAGGAGTCCTGGACAAGTCTCACCTTTCTATTATGAAATAAACTTGCCTGAGTCAGAGGCCACCTTGACTTCCAGGTAAGAATCTGGATGTATCAATCAGACAGTACCCTTCCCTGTGAAGGCAAGTGACTGGGTGCAAGAAAATAATCCCATACCACCTGAGTTCTTCTGGGGATGGACAAGTAATCAAAAAATCATCACACATGTCATTAAATAAATGTAGATTGAGTATCTACAAGGTTGTAAATCCTAAAAAATAATGGAGCAGACAATATATATTTATTCTGGGTCCAGGTTATGAAGAAAACAGAGGGGAGATTACATAAAAGACAAGAAAGGGTTACCTCGTCCTCACTATGAGAATAGAGATGAGATTTTTTTTTTAGATGGAGAGAGCATGTTTACTGATAAACTTATACCAGGATGAGAATACACACACCACATTATTAAAAAACAAAAAGAGGCAGCAATGATTGCTTATTTGATTAGGAAAAGGGCAGAAGCTTAGGAAGATGATGATCTTTAATTAGGGTAGGATGAAGGAATTAGGCAGATGAACAGACTTCTCAGCTTTAAGGGACTTTATTGCTATTAGCTCAGAATAGTCTGGATTTGAGAGTGAGGGTCATGAAGTGAACAGGGCTGGGAATTTTGAGATGGTCTGATTTGAACAGCCTCACTAGCCATTTGGTTTCTATCTTGTGTTCACAAAGAATCTCTCTGTGGATTCACTTTCAACCCTTCCATTTGACACAATATTCAACTGTGTCAATTTAAACTTATATAGACTTCAATATGTAAATGTCAAATTAGAGTAACAATTTAATGCTCTTAACTAAAATACTTCAATGAAAGTCAACCTGAGTCAGAGCACTGGGTCTTCATAGGACTGACTTCATCTTCCCTTGAACTTACTCTGAATCATATCAACTTGGATAGTCATTGTCTCTATCTTCTCACCTTTGTCTTACTTACACAGAAGAAAACTTTTTTCAACTCTGATATTTTGCACATTGCAGGAAAACCCATATAAACCTTTCTGTCACATGTCAAAAACTGGAATCTTAAACTCATTTTACAATCTGAAAATATATATCTATGTTCAGCAGAATCTAGAACTAAGTCATCAAGATGGTAAGCATCTGGATTAGAAAATATGATTATCATCATTATTAATTATGTAATAATAAAGAGCTATAATTCCTTATATACATTTTATTTACATATATTTTACATATATCACTTTACTAGAATAATCCTATTTAATCAATGCTTAGCAACATTAATTGAACAGACTTAAACTAGACTTAAAATATTAGAGATAGCACATTAAACTGTGGACAAGGTAAAGCCCATCACTTTGTCATTTCTCTTGAAATATCAAATAGATCCATATTAGCCAAAAAAAAAAAAAAAAAAGAGGGGCAGTTATGAGAGACTAGGGATTATTGCTAGGTTCATCGAAGTTGATATATGATGAATATAAGTGAATGAAAAGGATTTTCATTCAAATACTGGTGGCACATATCCAAGAATCATATGTCAGTGGCCACAGGCTCACCAAACAGGCTGAGTTTAGCTGGACATTTGAGATGTAGGAGTTTTACATACATTCTATAACACAAAACTCAGCAGTACATGGACAGGCTAAGATGATACTCAGAGACATTGGTTGCCAGTGGCATGCCTTTTCCTAGTTATTTCTACCAGCAAAAGTGTCAATCTGCCCAGATTCTTGGAGCTATTCCTCAGAGAAAAATGAGATAATCACGTCTTAGACTGAGGCAGAGAGAAAAAGCTATTTATACCACTCTGGATCTGCTTGGTTTTAATGCTATAGATGACAGGGTTCATAAAAGGAGGGAAAAGAAAATAGATGTAGCTCATTGTAATATGGACCACTCCAGGAATATGTTTTCCAAATCTATGGATAAATGTAAGACTAACTACAGTAACATAGAAGACGAGGATGCAGCAGATGTGGGAGACACACGTGTTGAGGGCCATCGTCCTCTCTTCCCCTGAGGCAATGTCCATCACAGTCTTGAGGATTAGAATGTAGGAGAAAAAGATGATGAGAAAGTCCAACAAAACCATTATGAATACAACCACAATTGGATAAAAGCGATAGAAGGTGATGTCAGAACAGGCTAACTTGATGACATCTTGGTGTAGACAAAAAGCAGGGGAGAGTACATGGGATCGACAAAAGGGAACCAGTGCAAGCGAATAATTACTGGTGTAATGGAAAGACCAGCCCTTGTCAGTACTCCCATCCCAATCTTCATTATTCTGGCATTGGTGAGAATGGAGGAATATCTCAAGGGGTTGTGGATGGCAATGAAATGATCATAAGCCATGGCAAGCAAGACACCAGACTCTATAATAGAAAGAGTGTGGATAAAGTAGGCTTGAGAGAAGAAGGCCCCATGGGCAATCTCTCTGTGGTTTAACCACAGGACATCCAGAACTGTGGGCATTGTGGTCACTGTCACTCCAAGATCTGTGGCTGCCAACATAGCCAAGAAATAGTACAGGGGCTCGTGGAGGTTATGGTCAACCCTGATGAGAAAGAGAAGCATTCAATTACCAAGAAGTATGGCAATGTAGACCACCAGCAATGGGATGGAAATCAAGTGATGGACCTTTTCCATGCCTGGGAAACAAGTAAGCAGGAATGGTGAAGAACTGGTGTTGAGCCACATTGCAAATTTACAAAGTGGCAAATAATCCTTTCAGGTTCCACCGATGAAACTCTAGTCCTTTATAAGCTGCTCCTTGAGCATGTTACTGAACCAAAAGAGGTCCATAATTCTTGACTTCCAGAGGCAGCAAGCAAGGGCAGCAATTTATTTGTTTTCTGGGGGACCCTACGTAGAGGAGAATAGAATGTATAAGAGTAGCTCTACTTATTATCCAGGGTTGCCATTATATAATACAATTTGACAATATGCAGGCAATATTACAGTGTTTTCAGAACAGATTTAACTGCTGTCCTTATAAACCATATAGTGACAAAAACAGACAATGTGAAAAACAAATACTGTAAACAGTATCACGGTAGTTTTGTGCATACAGGGTGCTTGTCGTGATATCTGACCCAAAGAACTGATGTGGATATAAAGATTTCCCAGGATATATAAGAAGTAAGTGATCCTAAGCTTGGATGGAAGAGCAAGCATTAACAATAGTACACTTGTTTGTTCTTCCTTTCCTGATAACTCTGCAAACAGCTCTTCCCTTTTTCTCTGTAACATCCTTTAATTTAGCTGAAGGTGGTTTTAAAACAGGTGACTTCAGCTGTTCCTGTGAGTTTCTCATTTTGGGGTGAGTCTCTCCTAGTGTACAACAGGTAGATATATTGGTAAACTTCTGGGGCTTTCACCCCCAATTAATCTATATATTTTTAGAAGGGACATTTCATATAAGAACCCAGTAGGTAGAGAAACATTTCTCCTCCCCTAAATTCCTTGATCCCCTGATTTTAGGATACTAGGACATTATGTGACACATTAAACAAATGACAGAGTGGGCATTTTATTTGTGATATACTGTGGCTTACAAAGCCTCAAGGAACTGGTAAAATCTTTCTTGTACAGTAAACTTGCTGCCTTTTTCTTCTCTGTTTTCATTAAACACTCTGTTTAAAAACTGAGTGTTTTCTTGTGATATACTGAGAGTTGTGCTTGTGGTATGTGAGATTATTTGTGAGTACTGGAGAGGATTAAATTTCTAGAAATTTTGACTCCTGTTTAGAGCCTCCTTTCATTTCCCAAAGTCTCAGTCTGAAGTGGACTAAGCTTTTCATTAATGGAAAGATAACTCCCAAAGTCTCAAACTCCAAGTCATAAGCTATGGATTATAAACAGACAACCCTGAGATAGGTCACATGTCCCTCTCCCTCCCTTGGGATCTTTTTCTTAACTCTTACTTACACTTCCTTCTCTGTCTCTCAAAATTTGTATCCATTCTTTTGGTTCATTTTGCCTACAGAGCTTTCCATGGCTCCATTCCTTGTCAATACCTGGGCAGTTTGCCTATCACATGATTTGTGCTGTTTTTCAGTCACTAATGATTTGCCTGCATATACATAGTTGTTTTTTTTTTTAACCATTTATATCTCAGATTTTGAGCAGGTTCATACATCACTGAAGCATGTAGATTCACTGTTATACCCTGGACAGTAGTTAATTGAATCTGAATATAGAACTGTGTAAACTAAGCACCTGGAAATGTGAGAGGTTTGCTGTAAGCGAGGTGAAATAAAAATCTAGCTTATTTTCAGTTCAGGGGTATTAAATGTGTTTGCATGAGGTGTATTTGTCTTTTCTAATTGCTGAAGATACACAGTTATATAAGTTGTCCCTGACCAAAAAGACACACATAGCTTAAATTTTATAAAGAGGAGTATAGATTTGAGGGGTCAGCCTGTCAGCTTTGGACAATGGTCAGATAGTGACTGTCCCCAGAAAATGTTTGGACCTCTGATGATTAAAGAGCTACCTCTCATTCTGTAGGAGGAGAGCCTCTGTTTATAGCTTATCCAAACATCTAAGGGAAAAACAATTGGAGTCACTAAGTTATAATGTGGGCCAAAGATATTGAATCTTATGACACAAGGAGAGTACAATACAGAAAAGCATAAACTTATTCCCAAATCTACAGTTACCAGAGGGTTTGGTATCTCTGCATTGTCCCCTCTATTTTAGAATATCTCCTTGGTCATGTTTTATGTATCTGAGGAGAGAATCTTTAAAGAGGCCAGGTTTTAGAGCTTCTAGAATCTGTAGTACCTAAGGACCTGTGCTTTTACTTCAAAATTTCTTGACAGATGACTTTCTGAGTAACAGTCCCTTACTTCCTGCAATTTCTCCCTGTGCCTGGGTGAGACTTCATTGTGAAAATTCTTAAGATACACTTACTCACCTGACTTTTGGTTCTCTCTCATGCTTCATAGCCATAATCAGGAATCAGGAATCCTTATCCTATCAAGAATTTTGTCTTTTTCATGATACCATTCTTATCAAAATCTACTCAAAAGTCAGACTGGTAGCAGTATTTATGTTAGAAGCTCCTCCCCAGGAGCTTATATTCCTGATATAAGCTATTCATTTCCCATCCTTCCCTTCCTCGCTCCCTTCCTCCCTTCTCACTTTCTCTCCCCCCTCCCCCATCAGTAAACCTTCCTTCTACTTTAATCATTCTTATTTGTGCCTTTGGCTTGGGAGACCAGGGACTGTGTGCAGCAGTCCCCAAGGTCTCTGAGTTCTTGCTCTTACTCAAGCCCTGTTGCTAGGGGAGTGATTTGCTACTTCTAACTATAAACATTTAATTATGTATATGACTGAAACAAAGTTCTTGAGGGAATACATTTCACATTTATTGTGAGAAATTCCATATTCTACCCCTAAAATGTGGAATATGTACAAGTCAGAGGAGAGTAAGGCATTGGCTTCAGTAAAGGAAAGAATTCCTCTGACCCACTCTCTTTTCCCTAGTGTTGAAGTCTGGCTGCAGCCTTTGGGTGGGGGACATTTGCTACTTCCATCTATAAACATTTGGAAGGAAAGGTAGGCTGATTATGGACATGGACATGGACAAAGCACTCCCCTGTTCCAGGTCTGACTTCTCCTAATCCCTCTGTCTACATCCTCTATCTCATAGTCTCCATAAGAACACTGGACATGATGGATGTTATTTCCAGCCAAAGTATGAGTAAGACAGGGAGAGCAGGATTCACAGTGACAAACTAAAGGTCATACTCTCTTCTCATAGAAAAATGGCAACTCAGGACACACATGATGAAGAGCATGAATTTTGGAACTTGTCTTTATATTTTGACCTTGGCTCATATTGAGTGATCTTGGTCTATTTAAGCAAGGCCCTTGTTCCAGTTCTCCAAAATATATGCACGCATTTTAGATATTATCTCCAATATACCTGTGACGAAAACAATAATTATCATTCAATAACTTGATGTGAGGATTTAATATAAAGCACTTGAACAATAGGCCACATGTAGGAAGGACTCTGTCAATGTATACTCTTGTTATTTCTATTATAATCAGTCACATTTATTTTAATGAGCTGTGAATTATTAGAGAAGTAGACTCCTATCCTTCGCAACTTTATGCAACATAGATGTCTAAGTTATTAAGCTGTATTAAGATCAATGTGGTCATCTCCAGTTTCTGCTACTGGAAACGTATGATGACACAAACAGTTTAATGATGTGTCTCATTTATGGAGAGTAACTTTCATCTCCAGATTAAAACAACTATCAACCACCCGCCCCCCAACCCCGGTGGTACAATGGGTTAAAGCACAGCACTATGAAGCTATTGCAGCCACTTCAGCATGAATTCCATCCCCACTCCAGAGGTGAACTACATAGTATGGCAGACTTCTCCTGACCCACCCACTGCTCCCCTCAGCAATGTATTTTGTCAGTCTGCCTGTCTCTGGTGAGTCCTCTCACCCCTACACCTCTGGCTTGTACCCCAGCTCTATATGCATAAATAAATACATCTTTTAAAAAAACCAACTATCTCAACTGAGGTAGACTCTTTTCTATAGTCAGATTTCTAGGGTTAGTGTTCAGTTTGGCTTTATCTGACCCTTTGTTTGATTTCTCTATACTCCACAGGTAAGGGAAACATTCAGTTTTTGTCTTTCTCCTTCTGACTTATTGTGCTTAACATAATACCATATTTATTTTATATATTTATTGGTATTTTGCCTCTTAAGTAAATTTCCTGTTCAATCTCCAATTAAAAAATCTAGGTTGTATATATGTTATGATGACTTTCAGGCATCATTTATAAAGGATGCAATTGTAAATGGATTTTAAAATTTTTTTCCTATCACTCATTTATAGTGTATAGAAATGTAACTCATCTTGAATGTTGACTGTGTAATTCACAACTTTATTAAACTTATTAGTTCGCATTTGGATAATTTTAACTGATTTTTCTTGCATAGTGTTTCACACAGTAGCAATAAAAACCTTGGGTGACCAAAAGAAACCTAAAAATGAACAAAACTGAAGGTTTCACACTTTCTGATTTCACACTTCATTACAGTTATTGTAATTAAACCATTATGATATTGCATACAAAGAAACATATAGGCCAATGGAACAGAATCACAAGTCCAGAAATACTTATATAGTCAATTAATACTTGACAAAGGAGTAAGGAATTATTAATGGGCAGAATACTGATATTAGGAAAACTGTATATTTACATTTAAAAACAATGAAGCTGTACTCTTATTTTATACCCACTTATTAAAATTAACTGAAAATATATTAAAGACATAAATGTGAGGCTTTAAAGTACAAAACTATTAGAAAATATATTAAAAAGCCTTGAATAGGTCTTGACAATATTTTTGACATGTAACCAAAAGTTCAAATAACAAAAGCTATACAAGTGAGACCACCTCAAACTGAAAATCATTTTCATAACAAAAGAAATCATCAACAATATAAAACAGCAACCTATAGAATTAAATATCTGAAAATCATATACCTGATAGGTATTAATATCCCCAAATACAATAGGAACTCATACAACTCAACAGCAAAAGGCACAAAAATTTAATTAACAAACAGGCAGATGATCTTTATGAACATTTTTTCCAGAGAAAACACACAAATAGCAAATAGGTTTATGAAAGTTATTTAAAATTCAATTTTCCCTTTGCTACTGCTGTCTATATGTGCAAAGATCTTCTCTTTGAATTAATCAGATTGGATTAGGGATCTCTCTAAGAAATACAATTTAAATGTATCACCTCCATAAATGTCACATCTCCAAATACAATCTCACTGTGTGGTACTGAGGGTTGGGATATCAACATGTGAATTTTGTGTGTTGACGTAAGTCAGTCTGTAATTGCTATTCATCAACTGATGATTGCAGCAGGAGTCATCTCAAACTCAGATCTTCACTAAACATCAGTTTAATCCTAGCAAAGTCAGGGACAAGGAATCTGTTCTGGAAATATGCTTATTTGCCCTAAAACTTGTGACAAGATGGATGATTCTTACTGGAGTTTAAGGGGAAACTATATATATTGTAATCCTTGGGACTAAAGTGATGGTGTATGCTTAACTAAAACACTGTGTTAAAAATAGTCACTGCCTTTGTGGAAGAAGAGGAAAATTCTGGCAACAGAGATTCAACAAAAGAATAATGGGGGCCAAAGATTGTGGATCCTTGTTGGGAACTTGGGGAGATTTTGTCTTATCTTTAAGATTTATTTATTTATGCATACAGACCTGGGGTACAGGCCAGAGGCGCAGGGGCGGTGAGAGGATTCACCAGAGAGTCGGGAGCAGAACAGATAGACTGATGAAGTACACTGCTGAGGAGAGCAGTGGGCAAGACAGGAGAGGTCTGCTGTGCCATGTGGATTGCCTTAGGGATGTGGATAGAACTTGCCCCTAAGCTGCCTCGGTCAGCTTCACAGTGCTGTGCTCCAACACCTTGCGCCACCAGGGAGGGCATGATTTGTCTGTCTGTTTGTTTGTTTTTTTTAACATATTTATTTAGTCCATTGAACTTTACACTCACAATCTTACTGAAATCAACCAAGTGGAATACATAATTAGAATCCTGTAGACATTAGCCCTCCCTGGAGGTGTAATGGGTTAGTACGTATTTTTAAAAAATCCTAAAGACATGCCAAGAAGATGCAAAATGAGATTTTTAAAAATCCTAAAGACATGCCAAGAAGATGTAAAATGAGATCATTTCTAAATATTTGACCTTCAAGTAAGTATGGAGGACAAACGGTATCCCATATGTGATACTGGGGTCCTTTGGGGTTCATAAAGACATTCTGATTGCTCCTACATAAAGCTGCCACCTGAGGCTCTATTAAGTCATCTTTTTAGAAGATGATGCTGTAAGACTTTAGGGAGATTAATTAAGTATTCCATCTCCATCACTGGAAGGTTTAAGAGAGATGGTTTTCTTAAGATCCCAATTAACTGGGAAAGAAACAACTCTAGGGGATATTTTCTTCATTAATATCCTCATTGACTGAGTCTCTTAACAGACTTTGAGAACCAGTCATGTTACCTTCAGGCAAGACCCAAAGAATTGTGTTTCTTATTCTAACAACCAAGCTTCGGTGCATGTGAGTATGGACAAACATCCAGCTAAGGCAGGAAGAGGAAACTAGATGTCTCTTCTATCACTTCTATCAGAGAAAAGACAGGAGCAGAAATAAGGGAAGGAGCTCTGTAACCAAGAACTCTTGAAAGCACAGATCTCAATCTGAATTTGGTAGCACGGAGGGAATTTCTTAAAAGAAGCTCTTAGCTAAAGTGACATTAATAAGGATTCACTACTTGTGTTAGATAGTTTACTATAAGAATTCTTTACCAAATTGCCTTAAGAAATAAAATTAACAGAGAACACTGATGAATGGCCAGAGAAATAAGGGGGAGGATGTTGTAGTCAGAAAAGGGAGTGGACTTACATGGGAGCTTAAAGGGAGTGATTGAAAAATATCACTATCACTTGATCTATTTTCAGTGAGCAGCACTTTTTTTTTTTTTTAAAGATTTATTTATTTGTACATACAGAACTGGGGTACAGGCCAGAGGCTCAGGGGTGGTGAAAGCCTTCACCAGAGACAGAGCGGTATGCAGAACAGGCAGATCAAGGAAGTACACTGCTGAGGGGAGCAGCGGGCGGGTCAGGAGAGGTCTGCCACACCTTGTGGTCACCTCCGGGGCAGGCGGGAATCGAACTCATGCGGAAGTGGCTTTAGCTTCTCAGTGCAGTGCTTTAACCCGCTGCGCCACCAGGGAGGGCCCGAGCAGCACTGTTTTTTACTTGTGGGGTTTGTTTGCTTTTTTACTTGTGGGGTTTGAATATGGAGAATGAGAAATGATGCCAACAATTTCCATTCCTCAGAGTCAAGCCAAGAGCAGTGCTGCTGACTCACGTGCAACTGTCTTGCTTGTGAGAAGCTGATAGGCCTCCTCAGGACAGAGTGACTTCAGCTGCACAGGTGTGGGAAAGGACAGTTTTTTAAGAAGTATCTTGAGAGTTGTGGCTTACATTGGTAAAGTAAATTCAAAAAGCATCTTTGAATAAAAAATTCTTTTTAATTTGAAGGTTTTTGTACCCCCCTTCCAAAAAAAAAAAAAACAGCTTGAAAAAAATCTTTCAATACATGGCAAAAGAAGAGTATGCTGTGCAAGCATTTCCTGATGACTTTTGATTTTCTCACAAGTAAATATATGAATTTATCATCTGTGTATGTATATGGAGGTATCTCTCACACTGACCTTCCCATTCCCCCAATTGCTCAACTCAGAAGTGTAGAGTCAACCTTATATTTTTCTTTCACTTCCATTTCCAACGAAACAGCAAGACTTAGTGTTACTTCAAAAATGTATCCTTATCTGTTTAAGTTTTATTCATTTCACTTACTCTGCTAGTGAAAATAATTCCTCATCTGAGTGATTTCAGTAGTTTTCTCACTAGTCTCCTTTCATTTTAGAGTTTATTTATTATTTACATAGGTCACTCAAGTCACAATTTTAAAATATAAATCAGAATATATCCTAACTGATATATATATATATATATATATATATTTTAATTTCCCATTTTCTCTCTCCTCACCTTTGAAGTAAAAACAAAATTCCTGTTGTTAGCTCTAAGTCCTTATGAGACCAGACCACAGCCTGGAACTCAAGGTCTCCAAAATACCCACTATGCTGCTGTATTTACTTACAAAGTGTCAGACGCACTGATTTTCTCCTCTCAAGGCATGGATCTTCTTCTAGATCTTCTCTTCCTCCTTAATTAGGTCTTAGTTTACATGTCACTTTCTTAGAGATGTAGTCCCAACTCCCTTAGCCACTGTACTAACTTGCAATTAATTCCATCACAATCAATATCTATTAAATAATGCTGTTTTACTTTAAATTGCATTTATACTTAACTTTTTCTTATTTATTTCTTAAGTTACTGTATAGTATATAGAGTTCATGACTTTGTCTCTTAATTATTTAATTCCACTGTTTAAAAGGCCTTGCCTATCTCATAGTGGATGCTCAAAAAATACTGAGTGAATTAATGTATATGTGTATAATTGCACATGTATGTATGTATGTGTATGATAAGCCTGTGTATGTGTATAGTATATACATGTATGTAATTCATACATATGTATGCCATGTTGGCTTCTTTGTTAGGTATTGAACAAGGAAAATAAAACACAGTTTTTATGTTACAAACCCATAGTACAGTATCAAAGAAAAGAGTAAGATCTTCTTAAAGTCTCTATCTCTTTCCTCCACTGATTGACAGCTCTGTTTAGGCAGCACTGAGTTCTCATTTAATATTGGCAAGGAAAATTTCCATAGCTTGTTTCTATATAGAAAAGGAAGAAAATAAAAGCATAATTGTTTCAATACAAATACAAAACCAAAAGGAGAGGAATAAGGTTCTGGGAAGCTATTATAATGAGTCTAGAGAAAAAATAGTAGGAAAAGAAAAAGAAACTATTGTAGGAATAAAAAAAGATAAAAAAATAAGAGAAGATTAAATTTACAAGCAGGAGGACAAATTCTATTTTGAGCTATGTTCTTTGAGTAGTGTGTCCTTCTCAAGTCTGCCTGGTCCCTAGCTACTGTGTGATGGTACAGCACATCCCAAACCTTTTGTCTCAGGTGCCTGGGATTATTGCCAAAATAATTCAGAGAAATCATATACATGTGAGAAACAGTGGGTTAGGAATCACTGCAGTGAAGGCAATAACAGTACTAGGAATTACACTGGAGTAAGTTTGGGCTGGATTTCTTGAATTCTTTTGAACGTGTGGATTCTTTTGTGAAGTCTTTGTAATTGATGAGAATGGTTCTAAGTTGTAACATGCACCAAAAATATCCCAGAGAGCATGCAAAAATTCAGATGGCCAGATGAAACTCTAAGAATATGACTAAGTAAGAAACTTTCCCTGGAATGGATAGCCAAGAACACAAAAGGTATATTTATCCTAAGAAAATGTTTTGGAAAACGATGACTTATACTGATATCATTATTACTTCTAAGCCAGAACGCTGAAATGATATAGTTGGAGCGGTGCATGGAAAGTGGCTCTGCATTTGGTGTTAATAACCAAGAAAAAGAGTTTTCTTCTGGATAAACTGAACATGTGGCCCAATGACAGTGCCAATTTCTTCCTGTTGACTGGCTTTCCAGGCCTAGAGGCTGCTCATCGCTGGATTTCTACACCCTTCTTTTTTGTCTACATGGCTGTCTTCTTTGGCAACGGGACCCTCCTCCTCCTCATTAAGGAAGACCGCAGTCTGCATGAGCCTATGTACTACTTCCTGGCCATGCTGGCAGCCACAGACCTAGGACTGACCCTGACCACACTGCCCACAGTGCTGGGAATCCTCTGGCTAAATCACAGGGAGATTGAGCACACAGCCTGCTTTTCTCAAGCCTACCTTATACACTCTCTTTCCTTTGTAGAGTCTGGTGTTCTGCTTGCTATGTCCTATGATCGTTTTATTGCCATCCGCAAACCCCTAAGGTACACCTCTATACTCACGAATGCTCGAGTGGTGAAAATTGGGTTGGGTGTGGTGATGAGGGGATTTGTCTCTGTGGTGCCACCGATATTGGTCCTCTATTTTTTCCCATACTGTCATTCCCAAATTCTTTCTCATGCCTTCTGCCTCCACCAGGATGTCATCAAATTGGCCTGTGCTGACATCACCTTCAATCGACTCTATCCAGTTGTACTTGTTGGTCTTATATTTGTGCTGGATTCCCTGATCATCCTCATCTCCTATGTGTTGATACTTAAGAGTGTCCTGAGCATTGCCTCCAGAGAGAGGGCCAAGGCCCTAAACACCTGTGTTTCCCATATCTGCTGCGTCCTGGTTTTCTATGTCACAGTGATTGGTTTGTCCCTGATCCATCGGTTTGGAAAGCATGTTCCCCATATTGTCCACCTCATTATGAGCTATGTTTACTTCCTCTTCCCTCCATTAATGAATCCTATAATCTATAGCATTAAGACTAAGCAGATACGGAGTGGTATTCTTCGCCTTTTTGCTGCCCGTAGAGTTGGAACCTGATCTCTGGTCATCATCATTCCTCACAGACTGTGAGAATTCTGCTCTTTTGAAGAGAAGTAAATAAGTCTCATATCAACTACATAGGATCAGATATCCAAGTAAAATAATTGTCAACATGGACCCATCAGTTTCTCTATGTTTTTTTTTTTTGTTTTTTTTTTTTGGGAAGGGTAATTGCATTTTTACATTTTAAAAATTTTATTGATTTTCCAATAGTTCACATAACTATAATTTTGGGAGTACAACTTCATACCTCAACACGTGCACATGTTCCACTCATCTGCCACCAAGACTCCAAGTGTCATCTACTTTCCCCTATTACTTCCTCTTTTTTCCCTATTTGCTTTGGTAACCAATATATTTTCCATAGTGTTAAGACTTTCATTGCTAGTTTGTTTCGGCAGTTTCTTTTTTTTTTTTATTATTATTATTTTTTTTTATTAAAAAGTTTCTCTATGTTTTTAAACTCAGTTCATGGCTTAATTTGGTTTGTGCAATTCTTTTCTTAATTATTGTATTGGAATGTATCATCAGTTGTGACTCAATTTTTGTGATAATATGTTGTGAGGGAATCCAGTATACAAAGCCTTCCAATCTCATTGTTTTTCTAATTGTGGCAAGAAATTTAGTTTCAAAAGGATTGAACTTGTCTAAAGAAAATAACTCTGTTTCATTCATTTCCTTCTTCATGTTATTCCATGGCCTCCATGTAACAGCCTGAATACTAAACTGTGAATATGAGCATGAGTATGTGTATGATGTAAGTTGTGTCTGATTTCCAATTATTTGTGAAACCAAATATGTGTCTTTCAACATCTCCTACTCTGTTCATGACTTCTGCAATTTAACATAAATATTATTATTGTTATTACTTTCATTATCATTACTATTTTATAATGGGCAGTCTGAAAACAAGAACAGCTCATTCTCTCATCTTATAAGAGAGATAATACTTATAAGTGGTGTGGTTGTGGTTTAATCCATATCTTCTAAGTCTAGTTTAAATTGCCCACTGAACTTAGTGGATCCATGGAATAGTCTATCTTTAGTGTGTCTGTTTTCTGCTTTGTGCTCTCTCATATTTATAAAAGCAGCTTCTAACCCCTTCTCTTCATATTTCTTTCCCTCTACTCCAAATTATGATGCCTTATAAGAGGTGATATTTTCTATTAAATCTCCAAATCTCTAATCCTGACAAAGATTTTACATATTTTATAATGTACCACAAGGCTATTGAGTTTGAGTTAGGAAATGGAAAGCAGAAATCACTTTTAAAAATAATCAGAAAAGATATGAAAATCATAGAAATGCACTGAAAAACCATAGTTTTTCAAATATTCAGCATGATTGACATTTTAAAATCAATCCAGAGTTCTCTTTATTCAGTTGAAAATAACAATCTACTTTTATTTTATTTCCTAAATGCTCAGATAAAGTTATTGTTATGAATAAACTCATATATAAAATTCATTTTTATGAACATTTGGCAGTTTATATATATAAATTTCTAGTGCTTATCATCATGCTTGTCAAGGTGGCAGTGACCAGTAAAGAGGCAACATAAAAATGGATAAGATGATATGGGCCCTATTGATGAAAAATATAAAAGATCTGAGACTAATGTAGATTGTTGAAGACTAGAAGATAATAAAAATCAAACTCCATAGAAGAAGAGAAACTGAGAACTATTAGAGTATTTCTTGACAAACAGCAAAAATCTCTAGGATACAGACTTCCCTGAATCTTCAGTGAAGGTATTTATGATATTAAAAATGACCTCCTTATAAATCTGATATAATATGGGAGTAGAACTGAATTTAAGCTGTGAAGCAGCAGCTAGGTTTTAGAGTCAAAGAATAATAAAAAATATTTTAACTCAAAGAAAGTAGAAACTTTTAATAATCTTACTCCCTAATAACTTCCAGACCTCTATTCTGGTTAACATTGAGCTCTCTTTGATGTAGAAAAAGACAGGTGCTGAAGAGATGACCATTGTCAGAGGCCACTGCAACACAGCAGGCTTTCATGACAGGAGATGCATGGTCCTTCCTAGTCTAAGGCATTATGTGGCTCTAATTCTCTACTTCAGAGACAATATGAAAGAAACATGAAGGAAATGAATAAGGTTTTGGAAACATGTTCATGGCAGAGACTTAAATAGACACTTAAAAAAAAGGTAGACACCACTTGGGACTGCCTATTTCCTCTCAGTGCTTCCACATTGGGCTGCTTTTTACTGTTGATGAAGTCTAACAACTACTTACATTCTTCAGAAACTTGTCCTCTGCCTCATGTGAGAAGATGTCCTAACCCTGGGACATATCTCAGAAAATGACCATGTATCTGTTCTAGAAAAAGTGGAGCCAAGAATGCGTTATATTCAAAAGGGATAAGAAGAGGTATGTGGATGACTGAGGCAATCTATGTCGTGATGATATGGGGGACACTAAAATTGGGGTATCTCAAATCCTCGCTGCATCCACATTATTTTGAGCAAAATGTATCACTTCCAAAATTAAGTTGTGCCTGAAATTTGTACTTAGGGCAGAGTTTTCAGGCACAGGGACATTCAGACTCAATTCATTCTCAGAAACTCTTGGTCAAGACTTTTCCAGTTTTGAGTTTTGGAAAGACTTATGAGTTGTGAGGAGTTCAGGGAGAACCTTTCTGCATCTGAAATGTTGTTAGTGAAATGTGTTGCATGATTGACCACGTGGCACCCATCATTATTTTAAAGTCCTTTGGTTTGTCATCTGAGATAAGCTTAGGCAACGCACCTAAAATAAGGTATGAAGGTCTGCAGAACTTTATCTCTGCCAGAATATCAGTGTAGTTCTTTCTGCTCAAATACAACTATCAGACAAGGTCAAGGAAGATAAGACCATTTACCATCTTCATAGCATAGCTTCAACATTCTATTGGACACTTTAAATAAAAAAAAATTAAATTTGATTTGAATTCTTTCAGATTCAAGTACTTTAACCTCTAGGTAACACTTAATGAAGAGACATACAAAAGGCTTGCAGTTTGAAATTTATCAGCAATTGTACTAATTTGTAAGAAAATATCACTTCAGTAGTGCATATTTAAAATCAATGAATTTATTTGAAAACATGGAAAGGTGTCAGGAATTTATAAAGCTTCAACTAAATTTAGTGAGGATTTAGCATGACACTGTGGAAAAGGGGACAGTGGTATGGTAAAGTGAACTTAATGTGGTATATTTACATGTTGGCTCTAAGCTATGATGTTATAATGCAATATTACTTTCATATATGATGTTATAATACAATATTACTTTCATCATAAAAGGCCATTTTGATGTTATCTTCTCTTTTGAGGTGAGGAGTATAAAGGACAAAGTTGAGTTGACAGTGTGATATTCACACGAAAATGTGGAGTCATAGGACACATTTCTGGGCCCTCCTTTTTCCCCAGAGTAGACCAGAAATGGCATCCCAGAAGTCTAATTATCTAGCATTGAGAGGGAAAGTGGGAAACCAATTTTCTATGCAGATAACTTCACCAATTAATTCTTTTAGCAGTCTTCAAAAACAGCATTTATATCAGATTCAGTGCCAAACCCAGAAATTAACTTGCCCCTTAATACTTGTTGCCTCAGGTAAGACTCTGGTGACCATGAGAGAATGGAAAGGAGATGATAAAAAGAAAGAAAGAAATGAGGTGATCACTCGAGCTATTTTGTCATTATTGAGTCTTTAAATATTTGTTATTTATGCATATAAGAGTTGGGATGCAGGCCAGAGGTGAAGGGGGTGAAAGGAATCACTAGAGAGAGTGGGGAGTAGAACTGGCAGATCTACTGCAATACAGTGCTGAGGGGAGCAGCAGGCAAAGCGGGGGAGGTCTGTGGCACCATGTGGGTTAGCTCCCTGGCCAGGGATTGGACTTAGCTGATGAGTTTGAGGATAGCTTCATAGTACTGAGACTCAACCCATTGTTCCAACAGGCAGGCCCCTATTTTTCCTTCATGTAGATGTTACAAGAAGGTAAACAGAGAACTGAGGAAAGCTATATTTCTCCCAGATTCTGTACAGTGTAACTGAGTACAACATAAAATGTGAACAACTTAGAATCAGTTCTCAGAGATAAGCATTGCTCTTTTGTCATGAGCATTTAAATAGTCAAGAGATACAAGTTGCTACCTAGATTTTGTTGTTAATCCAGAACTATATTTTTTAAAGATTTATTTTATTTATTCATACAGAACTGGGGTACAGGCCAGAGATGCGGAGGGTGAGAGGATTCACCAGACACAGAGTGGGGTACAGAACAGGCAGATTGACTAAGTACACTGCTAAGGGGAGCAGTGGGCGGGTCAGGAGAGGTCTGCCACGCCATGTGGATCTCCTCTAGGGCAGGTGGGGATTGAACTCATGCGGAAGTGGCTTAAGCTTCTTTGTGCTGTGCTTTAACCTGCTGAGCCACTGGGGAGGGCCAGAACTATCAATATTTTTTCCTTCAATAGACTGTTTTTCAAGAGAAATAGAGAGAGACTGATGCTGTGACTGAAGGGGAGGGAGTGTCATCACTTCCATGTAGGTCTGTATATTATATTACTCCTCATTTTGGTGTTAGGGGTAGTTTTTTCTCACATTTTGTGTTTACTTCTGGTTTTCTTTTTCTTCTGATTGTCTTGAGTGACTTGGTAATTCTCAGTTAGGAGAATACAATTGTGTCTGCCAGATTCCAGCTGCAACCTGGAGGTTAATGGTTATCAGGTGTGCAGGTATTGGTGAATGATTGGTGACTCTTAACTGAACATTTGTTAGGGAAGAGGCAGGGTGTGAAGCAGTCATTTTACACATTAGCCAGTTATGGTGTCAGTATTAATTGTAAGTCAATGTCACTACCTATATCAATTTAGCCATCAGTCTACCAGTCCATGAATCAATGTGTTAATAATATAATTACATTTTTTAAAGATTTACTTATTTATGCATACAGAACTGGGTACAGGCCAGAGGTGCAGGGGCCAG